CAAATAAGAGGGTTTTGACTACTCACGTTCCCGTGACTATCTGATACGGGTACGAGGTAGTCTTACACAACCGGGTATAGTATGTTTTTATTACACATTATCGGGACGGCCCGGGTGGCTATGATCAGCCCGCTCGAAAAAGTGGCGTTGATCACTAGGCCCGGGCGGAAAGCGTGGCCTAGGCAGGCGCGCTTGGGGGGACTGACTGTGCGTCGTGGGTGGCCCTGAAAAGGACCGTTTAAATTTCCACCGAGTATACGGGCTGATGCGTGGTTCTTTGACGCACTCCGGGTTGGTTGGTGGACTTGAGGATAGTCGTCGGCTCCTTGGACGATGGTTGGTAGCCAAGAGTTCGTATCGCTGCTTCGTATCGGGTCAGCCCCGCTCCACTGTCTTGATCCGTCGGCGTTGTCGGCGGCTGTCGTCGTCCGATGGTCTGGACTGAACCGGTCGAGCTTGGGGCAGTCTTCACTAGCGGTGTCCGGTTGTGGCGGTCGCGGCGTTCCTCTTCGGTGTCGGTCGTTCTCCTCTTATCCTTCAATAGACGGCAGAGTGTGTTGGTTTCTGAAGTCTTGATGTTTTGAAGGTTGAAAGAGTACTGTTGCTCGGTCGGTAAAATGTACCCGTATATATACGCGTTGACCGTTCCGAGCGCTATCTTCATTGGTGGTTGTCTTTGGTTTGACGGATGAATGTGACATCGATCTTATGGACTGTTCGGTATCATCGATGTCATTTTCACTCGGCATTTTTGTAATTTTTGTTATTGTTGAAATTACTTTACTTTGCCATAGTGTAGTATTTGGTGGCCGTGAAAACGGCCGTTTTATGTGTTGTGGTTTGTACCGTATCAACTTAAAACTAATGTATAATCTTAGATGCATATATGAACCATGACAACGAAAACAATTTAAAAAAAACATCGTGACTTTCGTGGTTCTGATATATTGTTGCTATAACAGATAAAAATATTAAAAAGGTGCTCTGCTGTACAGTAGGTTACAAGTGAGTCACTGTATAATGGATAGTATTAAATTTGAATTCAATGATATAATATCATTGTATAAGAAAAACGATTCTGAGCGGAGAAGATATGTCAGTCTAGGTATAAGGCATATACTTATCTAAGGTATTAAAAAAAATTGACCTATTATAGGTACCTATAATAAATTCCAAATTAATCATATCACAATATCCATTAGGTACTTATAACGCGTTATACATTAACAACAAACCCTGATACTATCATAGATATATAATAGTGTACTTTGGCATTTTCAAGTACCCACGAATAATAGTATACAATCAAAACGAAATAACTAAAATAGTTATTCTAAGTTTTTTTTATGTAATTTCATCCAAATTTGAACTTAAAATGACTATAAAAATATACTGTGCATATGTATTTATTTTTTTTTGGTAACAGAATTTACAACTTATGTGGAATCTTGTTTTAAATTTTCAATCCTTAGATATAAAAGTTGAACATTTTATAAATTTTTAACTACAAAATAATTATTCAATTTTAAATTTGATAAATTTTGTCAAAATTCAATCTTTAAATGCTATTATAAAAAAAAACTGTGCCAATATATTATTAATATTTTTCAACTGATATTGTAACAATATATCAGGAGCCTTGTATTACATTTTTACACTTTTTGGCCCAACCGATAAAACTTTATTGATATTTATAGAAAAAAAAAACTAAAATAATTGAAAACTGAAAATGTCCGTAAACAGCTCAAAAAGAGACAAAATATTTTCAAAATTGTATGGTGTATAGGAAATGCTAATATAAACATACAGTGAAATTGTCATGTATCTACAGTTATTCGTTTTTGAATTACAACAAAATAAGGAAATCGCTACACGAGTAATCGACTGAATATCCAATATTGTAAAAATTTGAATTTCAAACGCTCATAAAAGTTTTAAAAGATTGAAAATTTAAAACAAGATTGCACGTAAATATGTTATATATAAATTACATTATTCCCCTTAATATCATCAAATATAATTCATAGGTAATATCAAAGGCTGACTGACCGTTTTCGTTCAGAATCGTTTTTATTATACAATGATATAATATTATATCATTAAATTTAAATTTAACACCATCCATTACACATTACAGTGACCCACTTGTATCCTACTGTACAGCAGAGTGATAGAAAAAAAACACATTATTATAAAATCAATACGTTCATCGCTCCGCTCAGAATCTAAAACATTTGTAATTTTGCAAAGTGGCAAAAAAGTTGGCAATGACTGATTTTGACATATGAGAACCAAATGTTAGGCAATTAGGTCATTGGTAAGCTTCGTATTTTCGTAACACTAAGGTCTTGTTTGAACTTAACATTATTATTAGATTTAGGTCAATAGTATTGTTCTTTAACCTTAAGTCTGCATGAAGTAATCGGAACAATAGTTCGTAACATAAAGTATTAAAAGTCAGATTTCCACAACACAAATTTAATTAATATTTTACAAAAATGTACAGTATACACACTACCACTAGGTACCTAATACAAAATAAATTGAATTTAAATTTTTAAATTTTTTTCTGAAAAAGTGTAATAGATTCAAAGATAATATTACATCGATGAACACGATACTACGATAGGTATTATAATATATTATTATTCACAAAATCCTAAAACATCATCACTAATATTTTATGATTTCTGACAAGTAAAACCAAAACGCTTTGATATATCGTCTTATACCTATTATACTATATTATAAAATATATTTATATAGGTAGGTAGGTACCTATACGTACCTATATATACTTCAATAATGAAAAAAAATATAAAATGTAAAGTTTCCGACGTTATAAGCCAAGAAAAAATAACAGACTATTATATATTATAATTGGCGCAAATAACAGGTTTTGCTAAGGGTGCCTAGTACGCTGCATTTTATTGCTATCACTATTAACCCATTTTTACACGACTTGGAAATATCCTGGTTTCTATAGATACTTGCAGTACGGCACGGGTTCCCGTAAATAGTGAACATGAATGCTAAAATTCTAATATTCATTTATTTGGCAAGAATCATAGCCTAGTAATGTACACACAACAGGTATTTCAACGACTGAGATATTTGACAAATAATACGTCAGTACTCAGTAGCCTACTATACATGTAGGTACTCAGTTACTGGTATAAACACTATAAACTGTAACTGTTCACACAACTAATCAGTAAATGTTGGTGGTGTGATATTTTTAATACAATATGTTAATTGATCATAATACATCCTACTATGGAACTCATATTGTTTTATGTAATGACAGGGATTATTCTACTAAAAACAACATAAAAGTAACAAAAATTAAACTTGATCTCATACTAACTTGAATCTCTATTATTAAAAAGTACCTATTTTGGAAAAACTCGGTGTATTTCCCAAAAAAAGATTAAATAATTATGTAATAATTAAAATTCCCAACTTAATTACAATTTAAACAAATAAATAAAAACGATGACTAACCAGAAACATAACATAGTAGTATATAATGGTAGTATATAGGCAGAATGTACCTATAAATAGGTACCTTATTAAATTGACTGCCAAAACGTCATGTAATTTGTTTAAAATAATTATTGTATTATTTAAATACATTTTCTTATGGTTAAGTATCGCATGTTATTATCTTCATACTTATAAGTTATAAGTGTATAACGATACTGGGGAAACAGAACCAACGAGAGTAATTTAATTGACAAAAAATTATAATTTTAGCATAAACCTACATAATATAATTACCTTTGAATGAATAAAACGCTAATTAAATTTAAAAATGTTGGACAAGTACCTCTCCACTATACATTGGGTGTCGAATGGGTCACTATAATTTATGTTTGAAATTTGAATCCAACGATATAAAATCATTATATAAGTACGAAAAAGGATTTTGAGTGAAAACGGTCTGTCAGCCCCGTACTTAATATAGGTACTGCGAGTACCTATATTAATTGTAATAAGAAAAAAATTAAAGATTTTCAAAATAAAATGATCGTTTAGACATTATGAGGGAATTACCTATCATACATTATATTCATAGATACAATTTTTTACCAGTAAGTTACTTTACAACTACATTTTAATAATACATTTTATTATTTTAATCACAACTGATATAATAAGTAATAACATAAAATAAACGCATTTCGTATTATTAGAAATCTGTAATTTTCTGAGAAAATAAAACATTATTTTGTTCAAACGCGAGCCATAAACTTGTTAAAATGTATGAATAATTCACTTATAGTATTTGTAATTCTATAAAAATATTCCATCATTACTATTCATATGATCATAATTAATATTCTTTATAATTGTTTTTAATTATTATATACCGGATTTTAATTTTAATATCATTAAATAAATATTACTATCAATTACAATTTACCAATTTAAACAACATCACTTAAACATTTTACATGGATATAAATCAAATTTAACAGTATAACAATTTAACTATACAATGAAAAAGTTAGTTAGTTTTCATAGAATTTAAGGTTTTGAAATGTTCGATATATTTTTTTTACCTAGTAACCATACTGAGTATACCTAAACAATAACTTTAAGATTAGGCATTTACAGAACAACCAAATGTTTTTTAAGTTGATATTTTTTAACAATTTGTGTAGTATATAGTTACCTATAATAAAATTGACTCTCTAAGTTTGAAATATTAAAAAAAAAAAAAATAATGATTTTTACGACTTTGCGGTACTTATAAATTTGTAATTAAATATTATACTAATGCCCTTGGGGGTCCCACTCAGAATATATACTTAAGACTAACAAATTAATTTTATTCTTTCAATACTCAATTTTTTTTTTTTTTTTACAAACTTTAAACATCACATCACATAATAGAATTAATTACTTTTAACATACTAATAAAAACATGTTCTGAAATTTGTATTACTGCGTATTTATTATTTTTTAAGTATTTGAGAATTAATTTTTAAACAAATATGGATATTTATAAGATATATTTTTGGGTGATGATTCTATATAGTACACAATATTTTGTGTCATCTAAAGAAACCGTAAGTACATTTTCAATTTAGATAGTAATATACATATTTAATAAGTGATAGGAAATAGCCTATAGGTATAAACTAGTTCTTAAGACAGAATACATTTAATTTCTTTTAAAAATACTTACACAAATGTACATGCCGAAAAGTTAGCTAAGCATTAAAATATTCACCTCTAGCATGTTTTAATGGTGTATGTAAATTATTAAATACAACAAAACCAACATTGTTATTTTTATGTTTAAAGTGGGAAAAAATCAAAGATAGTGGATACCCACTTAAGATGTATGAATACCAAACTGAAGACCATTTTATGTTAGGTATGGAACGAATGCCATATAGTAAATATGGTAACAAAACAATCGGTAAACCAGTGATCTTGTTATCCGGTATGTTTGCCACTTCAATTGTGTATGTATCACATAACAAATCACTCGGTAAGTAATCTATTTATTAATTATTAAAGTTTAGGGAGTACAGTATCGTTTTTGTAATCTAGTTTGTATAACATAATGGTAAAATGTATTTTCATTATTTTAGATTCTGAGCGGTGTGACGAATAGTTTTTACAAGTGTGTGTGTGTGTGTGTGTTTTTTGTTAAGTCCCTTTAGTAGCAGTAAAAGTTCTTTAAACTTAAGGTTTGAGAGTGCTTTCTGATAGAAAATTGGATTTAGATTATACTTAAAGAGTCAAAAATATCGAATGGGTTCCCAGTATTTTTCAAAATAATCTGAAAAAATTAGAGAATTTGGATTTTTACTCAAACTTATTTTGATATAAACATATTCAATCACAACACACAAAGTCAATCACCTATATATATATATTTTTTTTTTTAATTTAAAAATGAATATTTCTAGAGATATGAATTCGCACAAAATATATTTTATAAAATCAATTTCTAGACATATCATTAAAATAAATATTTTTTCTCTTTTTGAACTATTTATAGAAATTTGAAATTTATTTTGTTTATGTATGATAATTTATTGATGAATAAAAAACTTTGCAAAATGCAAGGTTTCCCATAAGTTATTCCTAACTTAATTAAAAAATACAGTCATATTTTTTTCTGTACACATTACAAGTTCAAGTTTTTACGACATTGGATATTTAAATAAAAAATAACAATTTTAGTTGTTTTGATTCAAATAATATCATTCTCAATAGGTACTGAATATTCAGAAAAATATTTAAATTTCTTTTAAGCTATTTGTACACAACTAATTTACCTATTGACTTATAATTGAATAACAGCTATTAATATATTATATGATATAGTATTTTACAATATAATATGTGATTTATTTCTGTTAAAAATTAGTTTAACCTACCTCATCAATAACAGAAAATTAAATCACTAACAGCAATATAAATGCATAGTAAAATATTTAAATTCTAAATGTCTATCCTTATTCCTTGGAATTATATGCTGACAGCTGACAGTCTGCTGCCTGTGCTCAGAATTGTTTTTCGTATGCAATTATTTATTATTGAATTAAAATTTAACACATTCACTTACACTACCCATTACAGTGACCTATTCAAAGACATTCAACACATATAGGCACTATAAAGTTTATTGAAAGATTTTTATGATTTCTCCGGTTGTTAATTTTCTAAACATAAGTTTAGAACACCTAGCCGTTGTGTCCGTCTGTTAGTTACCAGTATACGTAGACACGTAGTTACGATTGTTAATATTCATTTTTTCATTTTAATATTATCATTCATAATTCGAAACAAAAAAAAACTATAAATACACTTATACACTATTAATTAGGATTTTATTAATACATTTATATAAGTTTAATATAACAGTTGAACAAATAAATAGTTTATGAACGGTTCTATTCGACTTAAATTCATACTAGCCTGTATTAAAAGTAACAAAATATGAGAAATTAATATAGTTTCTTTCTAACCAATTTTAAAAGGCTAGTACAAAAATAATATAAAGATTATAAAATTGTGTATGGAGTTGTAGTTTATTGCGTTGGAATATTAAAATTCATTAGGAACCGAGAATGCAGCACGCTCTCGGAGTAAGCTTTCCTAACTTGTTTTAAAACTATCTTTTAAACATTTATAAATATAAAACGTGTTATATAAAATACTGAATTTCATAATGAAATACGTATTTTAGTTTTCTATTATTTAAATCTAGTGTGTGTTCATTTTTAATTTGTATTGCATTTTTAACGTATTATCTATGGCTTTCTATCAAAATCCAAATCAACTAAATCATAAAACCATTATAAAATGGGTTCCCTAGTTCGTACAACCATTTATGATAGTCTTAACACTGATTATAATATGATCTAAGGTCACAATCGTATTAGTGTAATAGTTTCCATAACAAACACATTAATAAGTACAAGTAACATTTTATTCGATTATTTAGTAATTATATTTTCAACGAAATCCCTAGATAATATTTTTGTTGTATAATTTACTAGAGGGCTTCGCCCCTCCCAACCCCCTCGCTATGATTGCCCACCTCACTAGATTTTCCCATAATTTATATTATGAACCTACCTATATTTATTACAAAAAATAAAATAAACTTATAAATGAAACCATTTGAAGATAATATATTAAATATATTAAATCTCTTAGTTTAAATATTTTCTTTTCACAGTGAAACATTAATTGTACATATTTTATTAATCAGTGACGTTGTATACAAAACTAACAAGTAAATCATTATAGAGTAAAACATCATTTAGTTTCAAAGGTTTAAAACTATTTCACCATCACATTTTAATTTCTGTATACTTATATGAATAACGTTAACCGTTTAGGTTACCTGCTATCAGATGCCGGATTCGACGTTTGGCTTTTCAATTACCGAGTTACGGGTATGTCCAAAAAAATTAAGGATCCGAGGACAGGAATAATTCCTAAATTAAGTAGTTTAAATTGGGATTACAGGTGAGAGCAAAGTTTTATATAATGTGTACCTTATATTATGATTGAAATGCATCGCATATTATGAAAATGTTGTTTGACACAATTAAAATGTGATTTGTTTTGTTTGTAATTATTAATTAACATGTTCAAACTGTTTTAAATGTATTCAACGCTTAAGCTAATAGGCTGAACTATTTAACATATCCTAAAATGTAGTTTCATAATTTTTGATTATTAGATTGTTTTTGTTTCAACGATACTGGAAATCTAGATAATAATATGTATTATTTATTAATTGAGTAATTGGTTATAAAGTAAACCAATGGTTGAAGATACAAAATAAGTAAATAGTATTCAGAATGTAATTTATTGATCTTCATTAATTTTTGTTTACAAACTACAATATTCATAAGTTCTAACAAATTAAAATGTTAAAAATAATATATTTTTATTATTATTAATTAAATCCAGCAGCGTAGATAATAGATACATTTTTTTTATCGGGAGAGGTACTTATATACCTATTTAATATTTCATTTATTTATGAGTTTGTAACTTATTAATTATTTTTTAAAATATACATTTATGTAAAAATTAATTGATAATATTATTACTTATAATATATACTATTACATACATTTGAATAAAAATATTTTTTTGTCAATTTCCAAAGTAAAATCTACTATACGCTTTTTTTTATAATTTAATACGGAATTCATCTATTACAATTTGTATTGTACCTACGATGGTTCAACAACATAACTTTGTAATTATTTTATATAATTTATACTAATATTGACATTCAAAACCCTAAACTATTATATATTTACTTAAATAGTAGGTAAATAAGTAGTCAATAATTCAGTCAAACTTATGTCTTATCGATATCGTACAGTTTGAAAATTAATTATTACTGGATTTCCAGAAATTGTATATTTCTATGCTCTCCAACTTTAATACATAGGTACCTATACGGATATATTAATATATTATTTAAATATTTTTCTATATACAGGATGATTCACCAAGTATTTTCACCCCCACTTTTTTCCTTTAAGGGGTATGAAACATGAATAGTATTGACAAATTATATGAAAATGTATTTTTGTATTTTTAATAATATGGTTTATTGAGCGGTTTGAGAGTAAATGCAAATATTATCACATGTTGATAAATTAATATTAATGACGACAATTTTTAAATTACCATAGCCCCCATATCTTACGTATAAACTAATTATCATGGACAAGGGAACTTTTATCCTTAGGACACAAAGTTAAATAACTCAAAAACTAACCGTAAGGATTTTAATTCTGATACGTTAAATTTTTTAGAAAAATGATCCTCCAAATAATTTACAGTTTAAAAGGGGGTCCTCATTTGAAAAACTGAATTTGTATCCAACAGGAGATTCCTTAAGCAGTATAAAAAATCTCTAGAATTTGAAAATATGGTATTTAAGTAGGTATATTTAAAAATGAAAAAAATCTGATTTTAAGTAACTGCATTATTGAAGAAAAAAGGGGGTGAGCCGCTTGGTGAACCACCCTATAAATCGTGATCAAGAGTTTTGTTCTGATAGAAAATGTTAAGCCCCTTAAATCCCATAATATCGATGCCAGTATAATAGATAATAGTGGCCACTGATTTAAGAGACATGTTGTATTGATTGTATTATTGGTTTCAGCTTTCATGAATTAGCTATTTACGATCTACCAGCCGCCATTGATCTTGTAATATCTGTGACTGGGTATTCTCAAGTTGACGTTGGGGGTGTTTCTCTCGGAGGAACCATACCTCTAATTACATTAGCTGAAAGACCAGAGTACAATAAAAAAGTCAGAAATTTAGTCCTGATGGCGCCAGCTAGTAGAATGGGATCTGGATACCAAGGTTTACCGTTCTACTTTATTAGAGCACTTCTTCGGAGATTCCTAGTAATTATTACATAAAAAAATCAATTTATCTAAATAGTTCTCTGAAAAGTATTCGCGACGCCCTTTAGAGCCGCGATGCACATTTTGAATATTTTTGGACTAGAGCAAATAGTACTTAAACATAAATATACATTCAATGTATATTTATGTTTAAGTATGTATTACATTGTATACCTTACACTATTATAATTGTTATTTTTTAGAAAACGGATTTCAATGTTCGTTACATATCACTTAACAGTGATCCAGATAATGTTGCAGTTGGACAATTGTGTAGACTTAAAATGTTTGGATTCATTTGCGTTCAATCGATGAACCTTATACAAGGAATGTATCATCCCCTTCATAAAGTACGTATTATCTAAGAAAAATGTACCTACATTTTTACTTATTTCAAACAAAATGTTCCTTTTTATTACAGTAATAAAATATAACCAACCTAAAATAAATGTTTATCTGTGTTTAGGAACCCGTCATAGATGTATTTACAACTTATCCGCAGCCGACATCAGTGAAATCGGTTAAACACTATTTTCAATTAATATTATCAGGTAAATAGTGATCAAATAAATAAATTTGTTCACATATACCTATGTAATATGTTCATATTTTGTAACGCATAAAATATTGTAATTTACATCAAGTAAATAATACCAACAGTATATTTTATTATTATTTCCATAGGTCGATTTACTAATTATGATTATGGACCAATTGGAAACATGGCACATTACCATTCCAAACAAGTTCCAGAGTATGACATAAGAAAAATTACAGCTCCAGCTATCATCATGTACTCGAAAGGGGACAACCTTGTGCCTCCTCAGGTACTGTACATATTTTCATCAAACATTTTGAGTGAAGGTCTTTTATTAGATTAAACCTAATTAAATTCAAGTATTAAAGTATATTAATAATTATATTATTGAATAAAAAAAAATTTTAATTATTATTACCGCTAAGCGATGAGCATTATATTACATACCTATGGATAAGTTAGAACACCTGCAGGTTTCGTGTTATAACTCATAATATTGTGTTGCATAGTACTATGTTTGTTTATTTTATTTCAGGACATTAAATGGTTACTGAACAATTTACCAAATATTAAGAGCACACTTTATATCGACAAAATAAAATTCAGTCATCAGTCTTTTGTGATGGACAAAATCTCACATTTAGTTATTGGTCCATACATAGTGAAACAATTATCATCATAACATAATATTTTAAAAAAGGAAATATATTAAATCCAGTGAAAAACTTAATTCATAAGTGTGAAGATGTATTCAGCTATATTTGTATAAGAAATAGTTAATAGTAATATGAATGTAATTATTAAATGTTATAATGGTAAGCAGAAAAATGTTAATGCGTTGTAACAAAATATCAAAATGATACCTAATTAATGTATTAGTTTTGCTAGATTTTAATAAATTTGTTATTATTTTAATTTCACAGATAAAACATTAAAATAATACGTTCAAAATAATAATAAACAATCTAATTAACATACTATTGTTGAAATTATTTTATTCGTGTGATAATTCAGATTACATTAAATGTAATCGTTATAATTTTATATTACATCGTAATTGAAACATTGTGAATTATAATCAAATATAAATTTGATTACTATAAAATGTATTATATTTACTATGGTGAAAAAATGTATACGTGTGCAAATGACCTAGGTACATTTCTATATTTCATTAAATAAGATATGTATACATATTTTACTTACTTTTACGAGTTGGACTTAAATAGTAAAAGTTGTTTAATTTTAAGAATAAAACTTCACTTTTTGTGTAAAGTGCATTTTAAAGTGCATTTTTTGAGGTTTTAAATGTACTTTGAATGATTTTTCAATGTATTAAATTTACAGTCACAATTAAAAAATGTATGCAATTTATTTTCTACCTACCTATACAAATATAACAAAGTATAATAGGTATAAGACGATACATCAAAGCGCTTTGGTTTTACCTGTCAGAAATCATAAAATATTAGTGATGATGTTTTAGGATTTTGTGAATAATAATATATTATAATACCTATTGTAGTATCGTGTTCATCGATGTAATATCATCTTTGAATCTTTTACACTTTTTCAGAAAAAAATTTTAATATATTTTGTATTCGGTACCTAGTGGTAGTGTGTATACTGTACATTTTTGTAAAATATTAATTAAATTTGTGTTGGTGAAATCTGACTTTTAATTCTTTGTGTTAATACTGTGTTTTTTAATACTTATTGTGTTGTTATTATTTTTTCCGATTATTTCATGCAGACTTAAGGTTAAAGAACAATACTATTGACCTAAATCTAATCATAATGTTAAGTTCAAACAAGACCTTAGTGTTACGAAAATACGAAGCTTACCAATGACCTAAATGCCTAGTATTTGGTTCTCATATGTCAAAATCAGTCATTGCCATGGAATTCAATGATATAATATCATTGTATAAGAAGAACGATTCTGAACGAAAACGGTCAGTCAGCCTATATGATATTACGAATTATATTTGATGATATTAAGGGAAATAATGTAATTTATATAAAACATATTTACGTGGAATCTTGTTTTAAATTTCCAATCCTTAGCTATAGAGTATAGAGGTTGAACATTTTATAAATTATTATTAAGCTTTAAATGTCATACATTTTGTAAAAATTTGAACTTTAAATACTTATAAAAAAAATTGTGCCTATGTATTTTTAATATTTTTCAACTGCTATTGTAACAATATATCAGGAGCCTTCCATTATAAGAAAAATGATGGCTATATATTTTAGATTCTGAGTGGAATGATGAATGTGATGATTTTACAATGATGTGTGTGTTTTTTTTTAATTTTTAATTTTTTTTTGTGTCTGTCATCACCTTTTAGGTCAGTAAAAGTGCTTGGATTTTCTTCAACAGTATCTTTTCTGATAGGAAAGTGAATCTAGTTGGTACTTTGGGGGGTCAAAAGTAAAAATTTCTTAGTAGTTTTCGAAAGCGACGTGAAAAACAAAAGAAAAATTAAGGAAAAACTAGAATTTTTACGCAAAATCTATTTTCGAGAAAATCGATTTTGGTTTTTGGTGTAACATTAAAACAAATGACCGTAGATAAGTGAAATTTTCACTGGTTGTTTATATTTGCATTTTCTATACACGATAACATTTTCAAAATATTTTGATTTATTTGAACTGTTTAGGGACATTTTCAGTTTCCAATTTTATTAGTTTTTTTATGAATATCAATAAAAATGTATTAGTTTTTTAAAAAAGCTTGAAAATTTAATAGAGGGCTTCTGGTATATTGTTTCAAAGGCAGATGCAAAATTACAAATGTTTAAGATTCTGAGCTGAGCGATGAACGTATTGATTTTATAATAATGTGTTTTTTTTTCTATCACTCTGCTGTACAGTAGGTTACAAGTGGGTCACTGTAATGTGTAATGGATGGTGTTAAATTTGAATTTGAAAAAAAAAAAAAAAAAAGGTACCTACCTACCTATATAAATATATTATATAATATAGTATAATAGGTATAAAACGATATATCAAAGCGTTTTGGTTTTACTTGTCAGAAATCATAAAATATTAGTGATGATGTTTTAAGATTTTTTGAATAATAATATATTATAATACCTATTGTAGTATCGTGTTCATCGATGTAATATCATCTTTGAATCTTTTACACTTTTTCAGAAAAAAATTTAAAAATTGAAATTCAATATATTTTGTATTAGGTACCTAGTGGTAGTGTGTATACTGTACATTTTTGTAAAATATTAATTAAATTTGTGTTGTGGAAATCTGACTTTTAATACTTTGTGTTATGAACTATTGTTAAGATTATTTCATGCAGACTTAAGGTTAAAGAACAATACTATTGACCTAAATCTAATCATAATGTTAAGTTCAAACAAGACCTTAGTGTTACGAAAATACGAAGCTTACCAATGACCTAATTGCCTAGTATTTGGTTCTCATATGTAAAAATCAGTCATTGCCAAGGAATTCAATGATATAATATCTTATATCATTGTATAAGAAAAACGATTCTGAACGAAAACGGCCAGTGAGCCTATGATATTACGAATTATATTTGATGATATTAAGGGAAATAATGCAATTTATATATAACATATTTACGTGGAATCTTGTTTTAAATTTTTAATCCTTAGCTATAGAGGTTGAACATTTTATAAATTATTATTAAGCTTTAAATGTCATACATTTTGTCAAAATTTGAACTTTAAATACTTATAAAAAAAAATTGTGCCTATGTATTTTTAATATTTTTCAACTGCTATTGTAACAATATATCAGGAGACTAGCATTAAATGTTCACCCTTTTTACCCAACAAATAAAATTTTATCGATATTTATGGGAAAAAGAACTAAAAAAATGGAAACTTAAAATGTCCATAAACAGCTAAAAGTAAGTCAAAATATTCGGAAAATGTTATAGTGTATAGAATATGCTAATATAAACATTCAGTCAAAATTTCATGTACCTACGGTCATTTGTTTTTGATTTGCACCAAAAACCAAAACTGATTTTTTCGAAAACAGATTTTGAGTACAAATTCAAGTTTTCCCTTAATTTTTCTTTTGCTTTTCATGGCGCTTTTGAAAACGTCTGGGAAATTTTTACTTTTGACCTCCCCAAAGTACAAACTATATTCACTTTTATATCAGAAAAGATATGTTGAAGAAAATCTAAGCATTTTTATTGTCCTAAAAGGTGATAACAGACACAAAAATAAAAAATGAATAAAAAAAAAAAACACACATCATTGTAAAATCAAAACATTCATCGTTTCACTCAGAATCTAAAATAATTTTGTACTTAAAAATGTATAAAATGTTCAACTTTTATAGCTAAGGATTTAAAATTTAAAACAAGGTTCCACGGGCATGAACTTGACCCACCCACTTCCTATGATTTGACCCAAACCAATACCAAAAGTTAGCAAATAGTTAGCAAATAATAGCAAATTTACTGTAGGAGTTAGCAAATCATTATTGAAGAAGTTATAACTAATTTTAATTTGGGTGGGTCAAGTTCAGGTAACCCACCCACTTTGTCCGATCGACTCCAAATAAACACCGGTAGTTAGCAAATAGTTAGCAAATAATAGCAAATCAATTTTTTAAGTTAGCAAATCAAAATTCTATTTTTGGTCGATTTTAGAAAAAAAAATTTCAGCCCAAACACTTTGTCCGATCGACTCCCAATTAACAGCGGTAGTTAGCTAATAGTTAGCAAATAATAGCAAATCAATTTTTGAAGTTAGCAAATCAAAATTCTATTTTTGGTCGATTTTAGAAAAAAAAATTTCAGCCCACCCACTTTGTCCGATCGACTCCAAATAAACACCGGTAGTTAGCTAATAGTTAGCAAATAATAGAAAATCAATTTTTGAAGTTAGCAAATCAAAATTCTATTTTTGGTCGATTTTAGAAAAAAAATTTCAGTCCACCCACTTTGTCCGATCGACTCCAAATAAACACCGGTAGTTAGCTAATAGTTAGCGAATAATAGCAAATCAATTTTTGAAGTTAGAAAATCAAAATTCTATTTTTGGCCGATTTTAGAAAAACAAAATTTAAGCCCACCCACTTTGTCCGATCGACTCCAAATAAACACCGGTAGTTAGCTAACAGTTAGCAAATAATAGCAAATCAATTTTTGAAGTTAGCAAATCAAAATTCTATTTTTGGCCGATTTTAGAAAAAAAAATTTCAGCCCACCCACTTTGTTCGATCGACTCCAAATAAACACCGGTAGTTAGCTAATAGCAAATAATAGCAAATCAATTTTTGAAGTTAGCAAATCAAAATCCTATTTTTGGTCGATTTTAGAAAAAAAAATTTCAGCCCACCCACTTTGTCCGATCGACTCCAAATAAACACCGGTAGTTAGCTAATAGTTAGCAAATAATAGCAAATCAATTTTTGAAGTTAGCAAATCAAAATTCTATTTTTGGCCGATTTTAGAAAAAAAAATTTCAGCCCACCCATAATAGTTTTTCAAGTCGATACTCTGTATCCTGCCGGAACTGCCTCCTATTCTTTTAGCAAACACCTTACAATATATGTTTTATTTTACACTCTTTAACACATATCCTATGTTATGAAGAATTAAATGTTTGTTGTATGTACACCTCTACGTATAAGTGGTATTAAAATAACATAATATATGATTTATTTTATAGTAGT